AGTCTCCTTTTTGTTATTATTTTTTGTTATTTTTTTTTTTTATAACAGATTGGCCTCAATGAACTCCTATTTATTTTGTTGCTTCTTTGGTCGGCGACAGGCGTCTTGAGCGTACTCTTCTCTCAAGGTTTCCATGATTGAGCCCGTCGCCGATTTTAGAGAGGTGGGGAGGCCTTACAGAGGGGGAGGTAGGCTGTGTAGGGTTTTTCTTGGTTGTGAAGTCTGTGGCATAGCGTAGTTCCACTCCACCGCAATAAGGAGCTGTGCTAACCGCTTAGAAAAACATAGTTTCATCAGGGGTACATCATCAACGATCGCAAATTGAACTCGCAGTGGCTGAAGAGTGGTGCAACTCAAGAGGTGCAGAGCTGTTTCTTCGCATTCGTCGCGTTGGCTGGTGTGCGCATGAGTAGGTTGATACCCGTGTCTTGACATTCGGTGTAGAGTTAGGCCTGACTTACTCATACATTGGTGACCACATGAGGGGCAGACTAATGCCGGAAGGTCTCTAGTTTTTCCTGCCTTGCATTTTGCAGTGGTGGAATTCGTTTTTTGGGGCAGCCCCTCTCCTTCATGGAATTTTCTGCAGTGTATTACGAGGGAGTCTAGATGTGCGTAGAACTCCTGGCAGACTCCGCATTGGACTTTTTCTCTGTCCTCTCACGCTCCGGTGGCGACGTATCTCGCTGGCGTTTCTTATTTCGTGGAAAGGTTACTTGTGTTGTTGCCGGCAGAATTGGAGTTCCATGTGGATGTTTAAACTTTTTGTGGCAGGCGAGACCACCAATGTTGCCAAAGTCGCGTAGGCATTTGCAATTTAGACGGCCAACGCGCCGAAGAGCATCCTGAGAAAAAGAAACCCCCATTAACCCAGAAAGATCGGAGAGCCGCGGGTTCCTGGATCCCAGGAAACGGCGGCACCAAGAAACCATTCCCGCAGGAAATCTTTCCCCTACCCTGAACCCTCTGCGAAAAGCTTGCCGCGCAAATGGGAAAACGCGTTTCTCCGCGGCGGGCGGCTTTTAACGGCGCCTCGGGCCGTGTTCTTCCTCTTGGGGGCTACCCCTTTTTAATCCCAGCTTTTGCGCCGCATCCAAACGCGAGGATCTCAAAAAAGACCCGCGGCAACCCGGCCGAAAGAGAGGAGAAGAAGGCGCGCTCGGTCCCGGGAACCCGCCGGAGCCCCGGAGGGCGGGATCGGATCCCCCGGGAACTTCTCTTGGGTTTTCTTTCGCGCCTGCTGTTCGTGGGTGCTCCGTGCCTTTCTTTGGTGTTGTGGGGGCGGTCCGAAAGAAAAAAAAAAAGAGAAAAAAGCGAGGGGGTTGTTTCTCCGCGTCGGTTCGTTTTCCCGGAGGGTTCTTGAGTTCCAGAATGGGAAAACAAAGGTTGCATGGTGTAGGAAGTTTCGCGTTATGTCAATTCACTCTTAGCTGACGTTGCTTTTGCGAAGTTCTAAAAAAAGAGAAAAAGGTTTCTTTCGTGGGTTGCGTTGCGTATAGTTTGCGATACCTGACCTTACGAAGGCGGGTTATCTATACTAATATCCCGGCGAAGAAAGACATTGCGCATGGAAAAAAAAATACAGAAATATCTGGAAAAGGAAATGGTTTGATACATGGGAACTTCTCTGAAGTTGTTTTCTTGATTATTGTCATTATATTTTTCTTACTGTTGCTTTTATTCATTTTATTGTTTTTTTTTTTTTTAGCCATTACGGTTAATATGGTTTTTTATTTCTTTTTTCTCCTTTATTATTATTATTATTATTATTATTATTATTATTATTATTATTATTATTATTGTTATCATTATTACTATTAATAACAACATTATCATCAGTAATTGTAATAACCATTACAATAATGCCAATAATAAACAAAATAATAATAATAATAATAATAATAATAATAATAATAATAATAATAATAATAATAATAATAATAATAATAATATTAATAATATATATTTTTTGTTGTTGTTTTTAACTTTTAGTCTTGTTCTTATTTTAATAATAATAATAATAATAATAATAATAATAATAATAATAATAATGATAATAATAATGTTAATAATAATATATTTTTTGTTGTAATTATTATAGTAATTATTAATATGAATACTTCTATTTTGCCTTTGCGATTGTTATTGTTACAATTATAATAATTGCAATTTTTTTTATCATTATTATGATTATGATTATCATTATGATTATGATTATTATTGTTTTTATTGTTTCAATAATTGTACTTATTGTTTCTCTCCTTTTTATTTATTTATTTACTTGAGTAGCAATGCAGGGAACGGATCCAGCAAAGTCTTTTTTAGAAAAGCTGAAATTTGGTGGGGCTGCTGCCGCATCCGTTGACAATAACTCTCCACCAAATAGTGAAGGGATAATTGTGCGACTCCTTGAAAGACAGTATGCAAGCGAGCCGTTATCAGCTCTAGGACTTAAGCTTAATGACGACGCAGAAGTTGTCTCTACAGAGCCAAATTCTCCAGCAGCAAAGGCGAATATACCTCCTCAATACATGATTATTTATGTAAATAATCAATTTGTCGGGAGTCGCGCCGATTTTGAAGAAATTGCATCACAACATCTTACACTTATAATCAAACTTCAAACGACAACTGCTATGTCAGAATTACTAGCTAAAATGCTAGATGAAGAAGAAAAAAGAGAAAATGGACAGGCGAGTATGCCTATTGATACAAACGAACTTTTGCGAACAACTCCAAGGTATGGTTTTTTGTCTGCAGAACATCCTATGTTTCTTAGGTGGAATCACCGAATTCAAACTCAACGCGAGGCCAGACAACTTCTTCGTCAGGCAGCTCGTGACGCAGAGGAGCAACAGGCAAAGGAAGCCCTTGAGAGGATAAGACAGGAGATGGAAGAAGAAGAAATGAAACAACGACAGTTGGAACAACAGAAACAACAAGAGAAGCAAGAACAAGAAAAGAAAATTGTAAATATAGAAAAAGTTATTCCAAACGCTATTCCAAACTATGAGAATGAATTTCATTTAAAACGAGTACAAGATGAGAGTTCATTTGGTCGTTTTGACGAAGTTACAGAGGTAACTGATGGATTAAATGGTGAAGCATCAGCAGAGGAATTATTAAAACTTATTGGGGCCAAACCAAAAGAAGAAATTCCTGCACCAGTTGCAGTCCCCGAAGAGGATGGTGAGGTTCGTTTTTTAATTTGTCCAACTGAAGAATATACACTTTCTAATGGGATGCATGTAACTATCAGTCTCAAACAAAGAATTGGACCCTTACCAAAACCACCTCCTGGAAAACCGCCAAAAGGTATTCTAGGATTGCAAGTAAATACTAAAAGTAATCCTGTGAATTCTACTGTTAGCAACAACAATGAAAAAATATGCTCTTTTTGTTATATCCGTGGTCATACAGAGGATGAATGTGTAGAAAAAAAAGAGCAAGAGAGAAAACTAGCGTTGACCCGTAAAGAACGTCAAGTTTGCCGTGACTATTTAAGAGGTCGGTGCACAAGAACAGAGTGTGTGATGAGGCACGTTTCACAGCGTAGTCGAAGCCGAAGTCCTCGTTCCCGAAAAAGAGATCGGGATAGAAATCATAGAAGTCGAGAAAGGCGCCGACGTGGGGAAAGCCGCTCGCGACGTCATGATAGTCGTCGTAGAAGCCGACGAAGTGAATCCTCAGAGCGTTATCGTCGTCGAAGATGATAAGAAAATGTTTTTATCTTCAGATTAATTGTGAAATGAAACATCTAAAATTCCTTGTTTTCTTTTTTGAAAAGGTAAAAAAAAAAATAATAATGTGTTGTATATGTTTTTTTTTTTTTCTTTTTGTGACTTCAACTTCTTCTTATTTTTTTCTCTCTCTCTCTCTCTCTTTATTTAGAATTTATAGTTATTTGTAATTTAAAGTGCTTCTGCATAGAGTTGCGCTTTGAGTTCCCAGATATGCCAGGGAATGTGGCGTTGAACCATCGGCGAATTTCCAGAGCTTTCATGCCATTCTAATGGCAGACGTAAATATAACTTTTTGTTGTATTTACGAAGAAAAAAAAAGAAGGACAGTATCCTTTGTTACCTTTAATTTGGAAAACGAAAATATATCCAAAAAATGGTAAAGAGGTACTGGATGATTTTCCACATGTATTTGTTGATAGCTTAAACCAATGTCGTACTTGTTTCCGTTAAAATATCGGTATTTTGCTTTCACTCCTTTTTTTTTTTTGAATATTGCGTCAGCTGTGGCCTTTTGAAGTTTTGAATGAGAAAAAAGGATTAGAACAGTCAATTCGAAGGAACTAGAGACATTTCTAGTCATATTCATTATAACTGATGTTGGGAATAAAATATGAGACAAAAAAAAACCGGGTGTTTTTTTTTTCTTTTGGCTTATTCATGAGATTATTGTATAACTGAGTAAACGTTTCCGTAATTAAAGGAGGTGATTATTATTATTATTATTATTATTATTATTATTATTATTATTATTATTATTATTATTATTATTATTATTTTAATGTCTTTGTGAAAGGGTAATTACGTCCCTCTACTAGAGAGAAATCTTACTAGTGGCGAAGAAAGTGTTTTAGTTTTTGTTTATTTATTTTTTTCTATTTAAATGCACTATTCTGTATCGTTGGGTATATGGTGTTTGAGATTCTCATGAATATGAGTAAATAGTTTGAAATTAAAATCATTTATTTTTTTTTTTTTCCGCTGCAAAAAGTACAAATATTATTTTTTTAAATGTGATAATTCAACGATGTTACTAATAAAAAAATAAAAATAAAAATATCTTCAAAATGTTTTTTGGGGGGAATCACAAAAAAAAAAAAAAAAAAAAAAAAAAAAAAAAAAAAAAACAAGTAAACGATATTATTGTTGGTGATTCCGTAAAAAATTATTTTCATGTTTTTTTTCTTTCCTTCTGGGAATTAAGGATAAAGTTGAGTCATAGCAGTTCTTCTCTATGAAAGGTATAAACTTTTTTCATATGCCTAAATTTAAAATAAAGTACTGTATTTTATTCTGAAATCTTTTATTTATTTATTCATTTATTTATTTTTACTATAATGTTTTTTTCTTTTCGTTTTCGTTTTTCTAACGTGAGCATTTTTAATTAAATCATCTGTAATACAATATCTCTGGGAATGGTTTGACATGGTAAAGATAATTCATATTTGGAGTATTGAATTTTATTTCTTGATCTCTCATTATGGTACTCCTCTAAGAGATTAATTGGATGAATCAATGGAGACACAATTACATTTGGTTTGGTCCTTTGTTTTTTGTTATGATTATTAAAATTGTTTTAATGATTTGAAGAATTGAAAGTATTTTTTTTTTTTTTTAACACTTTTTCTTTTATTGGCTTTTTGTTTTTATTTAGTGCTAATTATTGCTGACTAATTAAAACAGAAAAAAGCGGTCTGGTGATTCGTTCCCCGAATGAATTATCTGAACACTTCATGAGAAGGTAACTATTTTTTTTTTTTTTCTACGGTGCTTTCTATATTTATTTGTTTAAATGATAGGAGCTTGTGAAAAGAATATGTATCCGGTTTTGGTCTACTATAATTTGGTTGTGAGTTATGTTTACCTTTTCTCCTTTGGGTGTTGTTGTAGTCAAAGAGCCTCGGTTTTAATCGAATAGAAAGGATTTAAGATTTTGGTTTTTTCTTTTCCGTCCCACCCACCCCTTTATGCCCTCCACGCGGAGGGTTCTGGAGAGGAAGGGACTCTAGAATCTGCCACTTCGTAAGTCCTGCCGGGTAATCTTTCGGCGGTATAGAGAATTGATGGTATGTTTTGTTTATTGCGTGTTATCGTTTCATGATAAGTATGTGTTTTGGAATCATTTGGAACTTCATAGATTATTTGTTTGTCTATTTGTTTGTCTATTTGTTTACTTTTGACCAAAGTAGGAAAGCATATTCTACTTGTATTTTTTTTTTTTTTTTTATTGGACTAGGTCTGGATTTTATGAGAGTTGATTAAGTTTAGTACTCTGTGTGTTGATTCTTTATCATTTGTAGTAAGAGAAGAATGTCACATTGTTCTTGTTACAACTACTTCGAGTTATTTAATGTGAACCTTTAGCATGTTTACTTGTGCCTGTGCTTATCAATTGTATATATTATATTTTTTTTTTCTTTTTTTTTACTGACATAGGTAGAAGAAAGCCATTACCACTCGAAATGCGTGGTGGTTTTCGAAGAGGACGATTCGATAAAGTTCCGCAACCTGGAACAATCGGTAGTTACACGGAAGCATTCTACCCACCCCGTGTGTATTATTATTACACTCACCCACCTACTTCCACAACCACATCTGCAGCTACCGTTATTGTTCCGAGCATTGACGATGGTGTTGGTGATTCCCGTGGAAGAGAGGTACCAATTCAAGGTGTTAGTTCAGCAATGGGTAGGAGAGTTCCTCCTATTCTTCAGGATTTTATTGGTTGTTTTGTTGATGCCAATCAGTGTGCAGCAGATTCTCGAGCATTTACAATTTTAGAGTCTGGAAAAGAGCCTCTCAATATTTTACATTATCCCTATTTGTTAAGCGCAAATTCAGGGCGTGAAAATGTAGATACAAGTGGAAAGCTGCCACAAAGCAACGAGGTTGGCAATAGGTCCCTGCGAATCTGGGAGGATGCATTGGGATTGCCGAATGAACTGAAGTTCTACAGCTCAGTAAATGTTTCTAGTGAGATGACAAGTTCCACAATGGAACGTCTTCGCATTCGCCCTGTCAAACAAAAACGCATTGTGAAACCAGTGCGGCGAGGAGCTAAGGTGGTTATCCTCAATCCAGCAGCTGGTGAGAGTATTCAGGAAACACGAAAGACTAAGCGGAACTTGGGTGATGATGATGATGATGTGGGTGGAGTGAAGAAGCAACCAAAGGGTGAAGATGATGATCCAGAAGGAGAGGGTGAGGGAGAGTATGACAAAGACGATGACGAAGCATCGATATCTTTTCAAGTTGATGATGATGATGATGGTGGTGATTTAGATGGGCCCGAAGGCAGTGGTGGCGAGGATGACTTTTTCTGATTATACGGTTAAAGAATGAATCTTGAAAAATAATAAGATTCACGGAAACTTCCTTTTTCTGAAGGAAGAGTAACTTCTTTTTGAAGTATATTGCTTCTTTTTTTTTGTTTTTGTTTTCTTGGGAAGTGACGCTTTCTTGAACTATATTTACCCTTAGTAAAGGTGATATTTTTTTTTTTTTGTTTTTGTGATTTTTTTTTTTTTCTTTTACGTTTCTTGCTCACATCTTTTCTTTAAAAAAAAAAAAATAAACTTAGAAATCGAGAATGAGCGCAAAGGCCCCAAAGCTCTTTAACAAGTGGTCGTACGAAGATCTCCAGACGACGGAGATCGCTCTCAGCGACCACATTGCAAAGACGGCGACGTATGTGCCTCACTCTGCTGGCCGCTGGCAGAAGAAGCGCTTTCGCAAGGCCCGCATTCCGATCGTGGAGCGTTTGACAAACGGTCTTATGTTCAAGGGTCGTGGTAATGGTAAGAAGCTGCAGGCTGTGCGCCTTGTGAAGCACACACTGGAGATTATTCACCTGCTGACAGACCAGAACCCCATTCAGGTGGTGATCGATGCCGTGTCCAAGGGTGCACCACGTGAGGACTCCACTCGTGTTGGTTCTGGTGGTGTGGTCCGTCGTCAGGCCGTTGATGTGTCTCCCATGCGCCGTGTGAATGAGGCTATCTACCTGATGTGCAAGGGTGCTCGTGAGGCTTCCTTCCGTAACCTCAAGACGCTTCCTGAGTGCCTCGCTGACGAGATTGTCAATGCGTCAAAGGGTAGCTCCAACTCGTACGCCATCAAGAAGAAGGATGAGGTGGAGCGCGTTGCCAAGGCCAACCGATAAGCGAAAAGGCGGTTTCAATGCTTTGATTCTATTCTTTTATTTTATTTTAAACTTTATTTTTGTGATTATTACCTTTTTCAGTTGCTCTAATTGATTCATATTAATATATATATTTTTGTCTGTTCTGCAACTTTGATATTACCTTGTTTTTTTTCTTTTTTTAACCCCTCCACCTCCAATTTTGGTTGCAAATTCGAAGGGAAAGGTGATGAGCGCAAAGGCCCCAAAGCTCTTTAACAAGTGGTCGTACGAAGATCTCCAGACGACGGAGATCGCTCTCAGCGACCACATTGCAAAGACGGCGACGTATGTGCCTCACTCTGCTGGCCGCTGGCAGAAGAAGCGCTTTCGCAAGGCCCGCATTCCGATCGTGGAGCGTTTGACAAACGGTCTTATGTTCAAGGGTCGTGGTAATGGTAAGAAGCTGCAGGCTGTGCGCCTTGTGAAGCACACACTGGAGATTATTCACCTGCTGACAGACCAGAACCCCATTCAGGTGGTGATCGATGCCGTGTCCAAGGGTGCACCACGTGAGGACTCCACTCGTGTTGGTTCTGGTGGTGTGGTCCGTCGTCAGGCCGTTGATGTGTCTCCCATGCGCCGTGTGAATGAGGCTATCTACCTGATGTGCAAGGGTGCTCGTGAGGCTTCCTTCCGTAACCTCAAGACGCTTCCTGAGTGCCTCGCTGACGAGATTGTCAATGCGTCAAAGGGTAGCTCCAACTCGTACGCCATCAAGAAGAAGGATGAGGTGGAGCGCGTTGCCAAGGCTAACCGATAAACGCAAAGAAGAGGGGAACTCGGAGCTTTATTGCGTTGTTTTCATTCCCTTACCATAGTTTTATTATTATTATTATTATTATTTTCTTCTTTTCTTTTATCACACACTTTTCACCACTTGGTGACAGGACTGGTTTATTGAACAGGATGTCCTCTTAAGTGCGACACTACCAACGTTTATATTATTTTTATTGTTATTATTATTGCCATTGTGATCTCTTTTTCTTTTTCTTTTTCTTTTTCTTTTTCTTTCTTGCGCATGCGCATTATTATATATGTATATATATATTGACATCTTTACTTTATTTGCGATTTTACAAGTGGGTACTGGGTGCATACCAGTCTAGTGGGCGAATACATGGCGAATTCACACACCCCTGATGCGGTAGCGCAGCAGCTGCAGGAAGAGCGTCTCGCGCGACTGTGTGACGACAATGCCTTTGTGAACGTTGCGGAGGTGCTGCGGCGACAGCGGCGTGATGGGGCTCCGGCCGGGAACGCCGAAACGGAGGCGGAGTTCCTCGAACCGAGCGCACTGCCCGGAGCGGGGCCTGCCCGCCTGCACCTCAGCCGCGCCCTCCTCGAGCAGCACCGCGCGTATCTTAAGGCCCTCGAGGGTGGGCGGGACGGCGGTGTGGACGCCACGACCGCCTCCTCCACCGCCTCCGCCGAGTCCTCCTCAGGGGAGGAAGAGTCCACATCAGGGCGGGGGAGGCGGCCGCATGGGGGCGAACACCGCCGGGGGGAGGGAAAGAAGCGTATGCGAAAAGAGACTGAACAGACAGATGTCCGGGTCAGTAAAGTAATGGACAGCAGTCTCGCGGTGTCACGACAGATGGAACAAGAGTACCAAAGTGTTCGTACGTGGAGTCAACAACGGCGTGTGCCTCCATTGGAGTTAGCTTCACCAATGCCAAGTTACATTTCAATGGCGGCACCACCACCAACACACACAGGTGGTTATCATTTATGTTCGGTCTGTTTACTTCCAGCAGGCTACAAGTGTCTGCGCTGTCGTAGGGCACTTTTTTGCTCCATTGAGTGTCATGTCATGCATGAGGCGACACGTTGTTTGAAATTTATAGTTTGAGAAAGAATGATGAAAGAAAAAAAAAAAAAATACACGTTTTCCTGTTTACTCTTTTTTTTTTGGTTGAAAAAAAGGGATATTTTCTTTCTGAAATACTGGATGTATTCTTTTTTTCTCTTTACTTTCGTCTCTTTCTTTTTTTTTTTTTCTCTCTCTCTCTCTCTCTCTGATTAAAAAACTACATACGTGGTGTCCTTTATTATGAACTTAGACAACCTATTATGGATACCGTTTAGCAGAGATGAAAGCGGTTGTAATGAAGTGGGGTAGATTTTAATGATACATTTCTTTTTTGAGATTCTTGGTTCTGGGTGACAAATTGATAATGGACATACAATATTGGTAAAAAAAAAAAAGAAAAAAAAAAAGGAAGCTTTGACCCACGATTCTTTTTTACACTGAAGAATATGGCTACCTGTGATGATAGATTAAAAAAAAAAAAGAAAATCCAATATATATGTGCGAGAGAAAAAGAGAAAAAGAAAGAGAAAAGAAAAAAAATAGATAACTCTCGGGATAGAGGCTATTTGACGTCCTATGAGTCTGCAGTTTTAGTTTTAAATCCCGTTAAATAAATACCCATGGCGGATTAATAATGAGAAAAAATTCTTATGAGTCTGGTACTAGAACCATAAGTAGCCAAATAATGCATGTGAATTCTTTTACTGATGACCTGTATGAACATTTATGTTTGTTTCTCCACCACATTACAGTTAACAATGTGGTGAATATAAGTTATACAGAGTTGCTGTCAATATACCCTTAAACTACTGCAGAAGAAAATCAATGACAACAATAACAAAAAAGACGTGATGATGTGATGATGATCATCGTCTGTGTCTTTCTCCCTCCTCATGAGAAGAGTCTAGTAGAGGACCTTGTGTCTTCCTTATTTGTATAGTAGCAGGATATATAAAATTGGTGACGGAGGGATGGGTGTGTGAGTGTTTTTGCTAACGGTTTGGTGCAGATGGGTGGAGGCGTATCTCTTTATATCATCGGTTAAAGAATTAAAATATAGTAGATAAACTTTTTTTTGGTTTTTTTTTTGTCTATAGACAAAGAATCTCAAAATTCTCTCTTTTTTTCTTTACCTTTTATTTTACGATCTTCCTCTACTTTTCTTGAGGATCACAAGATAGAAAAGTGGAGAGGGAAAGGGATAGTTACAACGGAACCAAAAAAAAAAAAAAAAAGGGGGAAAAATACCTAAGGGTAATTGGAATCACAAGAAAAGATTCCTCGTTGTTGTTTTTTTCTTTTTTTTTATTATCTCCACGGAAACGATAAGCCCAAATGCTCAATATTGGACAGTTGAGTGGTGCAGCTTTTTTTAGCCGCGTGTTTGATTCTAGTATAATTCGTGAGGATCTCTTGAGTCAGAATGCAACTCGACAACTTTCTGCACTTCAACAAGTAATTGCCTTCATGACGATTGGAAGGGACATGTCAAGTCACTTCAGTGATATTGCTCCCCTCTGCTCCTCCAATAATCTTACTATCAAACGACTCGTTTATCTATATTTAATGCAGTACAGTAGAACACAACCACAGAAGGCTGTCCTACAAGCTGGTGCTTTTGTAAAAGATACACTAAACGATTCTCCACTTATTCGCGGTACTGCACTGCGAACAATGACTTCTCTACTTGTACCTGTTATGGTTGATTTTATTACTGCACCCCTTTTGCGTTGCTTAGAAGACAGTGATCCATATGTTCGCCGTATCGCCGCATTTGGTACATTGAAACTATACTACGTAGCTCCGAACGTTTGTGAAGAAGTTGGACTTCTTGAAAAATTAAAGAATCAACTATGTGACGAAAATGCAATTGTAGTGGCATCTGCAGTTGCTGCTATTTTAGAACTTCGTCAGTTAAATGCTCCAGTTGATCTTGAAGAAGCTATTGTAAAAAATGTTAATCACCTGCTTGAAGCAATTAGTGATACCACCGGTTGGTACCAATATTATCTTCTTGAAGGTGTTGCTCTGGTTTTCAAGAATAGTTTCTCTACGTTAAGCATGGATGAAGTTAAAAAAATCATTGACAGTGTATTGCCCTTTTTATCTGTCTTTAATGTTGCAACAATCATGTCTGCAGTACGTGTCATCACATCCTTTCTTATTCAGGTATCCCCTCAGTTATTATCACCATCATCTACTACTACTACTACTAGAGATGAAAATAACCAGGAATTAGTAGATATGCAAGAACGGTGTAGTCTAAGAGTCGTTGGAACCTGTGTGTCATTATTATATGGACCTTATTTTGAGGTACGTTTTACCGTATTTCGAAATATTCATCTCTTGATTAAGACAGGATTAAGTCGATTTTTTAAAAAATATTTGAGTGTCTTTTTCGTCAAGTATGATGATCCTATTTTTATTAAGCTAGAGAAAGTTGAACTATTACTTGAGCTTGCTGATAATGAAGTTGGAGAAGTGGTACTCTCGGAATTTGTAACATACGCTACAGATGCAGATGAAGAGATGGTTCGGAAAGCGGTGCGTTCTATTGGATTTCTTGCTGCCAAATCAGAGCCACTAGCGTCACAATGTGTGGAAAAACTAATTGGTCTTATTGACACTGGTGTAAATTACGTTGTACAGGATGCGGCAATTGTGGTACAAACAGTTCTTCGACGGTATCCCGGTAGGTTTCCTGACGTTGTACCGAAACTTTGTGATGCTCTAGATATATTAACCACGGCGGAGGCAAAAGCTGCTGTCGCGTGGGTACTTGGCGAATATTCACAATCTGTGGAAAAGTTACATGATGTACTTTCTGTATTTGTAGAGTGTTTCCCCAATGAACATTCTACCGTGCAGTTAGCGGTATTAACCGCTGTTGTAAAAATTTATCTTCAAGATAACTCTAATAAAAAGAACCATAACGCTGAGATTCTTCAACAAGTACTTGCTATGGCGACACAATCAGGACTACCAGACGTCCGAGATCGCGCATATATGTATTGGCGTCTCGTTACTAGTGACATTGAGGCGGCAAAGAAACTTATTCTAACATCAAGTAGTACACTTTTTACCACAGTAAATAACATCGAGAAAAATCGGTTACATACACTTTTGTTAGACTTGGGAAACCTTACATCAGTACTTCATCGTCCCTTGCATCTTATATACAATAATGGATTAGCCCTAGGCGAAAAAGATGATGATTATGATGATAATTATGTTGATGATGATGGAAAAAAACATCATCGTGGAAATGATAACCTTGAGAAGGGATTATTTAATTCTATTCATCCTGATGAGGACACAATTATATCATCATCACCTAGAGAAATGTCTGAAGACATTCCTCATCGTAATAAAGAAGACATGCATATTGCGTTACCAGCGAATGAGGGTAATGGACTAGAAGTCAGTATGAGTTGGTCACAATTAGGCAATAAGTTACTCTTAAATTGTCGTTTTTCACTTTTACCTGGTGAAGATTATGTACAACGTATACATGTTAATATGCTTCAAATCAATAGGAATATATTTGCCCTTGGACTAGCACAGCAATGTCCTACTGTGCAACTTGAAGTGGGACAAAAAGGTGTAGAAACTGTTCATATTCTTGCAGGAACTAATAATGAAAAAGCACCTTCACGCGATCTTCTAGCAGCAGTTAATGCAGATCCTATTGGGACACGCTATTTTATTGCTCCGCCAGTACCGCCTGCTATGTTGTTGCTTCCTGCCACAGGTTGTGATTCTGTCATGTTTATGGAGCAATTTCGTGCCCTCAAAGCACCATCTTGGACGATCCCTCAATCTTATTTACCAGTCCAAACCAACCCATCACGTTATACAGCAGGCGCTTTACGCCTTCACGGACTAAGCCTTGTATACACTGGGAAAAGCTGTGAAGGTGGGGTCATACGACTATTTCTCTTTGCCCAAACAATATCTGCACAAAATATATTAATGGAGTTGTCCATTCAAAATGATATTGTAGCCTATTTGGGAGTGCGATGCAAAGACAATTACATTACACCAGTATTTGGTGCATACACCCTGCAGGTTCTCTCTTCTACAACGAATTCGTAATAACAGAAAATAAAATTCTTTAGTGCCTACTTTTACGCGACTCTTTTTTTTTTTTTATGGTAGTATACTATTACCAGAAGCGTGCGACACTCTATCAATCCAAAACAAAAAAATTGAAATGTACATATGTCTCTGTTTCTATATAAAAACTACTTCTAGAAGTCGCCCGTAAAAGCATACCTTTCTGTAATCAACCTACGATCTATATATATGTTTTTCTTTTGCCCTTCTTTAAATAAAGAATTTTAAAAAGCTATTTTAACACAAACAAAATAAAAAAAAAACGTTACTACCTTAAAAGTTAAAACTATTATGGAGGCTAAGAAGCACGTGTACTACTTCGGTGGGAAGAAGGCCGATGGCAATCGCAACATGAAGGAGCTGCTCGGAGGTAAGGGTGCAAATCTGGCGGAAATGGTAAACTTGGGTATCCCTGTACCTCCTGGTTTCACCATCACGACTGAGGTGTGCGGCATCTACCAGACCACAAAGGGTGTGCCCCAGGAGGTTGTGGAGCAGGTAAAGCAGAATGTGCGCCGCGTGGAGGAGGAGATGGGCAAGAAGTTTGGCGATGTGGAGAACCCGCTACTCTTCTCCGTGCGTTCTGGCGCTGCTGCCTCTATGCCTGGTATGATGGACACCGTTCTGAACCTTGGTATGAACAAAGCTACCGTGGAGGCATGGATTCGCCGCTCTCCTCAACTGGAGCGCTTCGTCTATGACTCATACCGCCGCTTTATCACCATGTATGCTGACATTGTGATGCAGGTGGGCCGTGAAGATTTTGAGGAGGCCATTGGACACATGAAGGAGAAGCGTGGAACGAAGTTTGACACAGATCTGACAGCAAAGGACCTGAAGGAGCTGACAGAAGAATACCTGGTGCTGTTCCAGCGTAAGACTGGATTCCCGTTCCCACAAGACCCAATGACGCAATTGTTCGCTGCCATCAACGCCGTGTTTCGCAGCTGGGGCAACCCTCGCGCTGTGATGTACCGCCGCCTGAACAACATCACCGGTCTGCTTGGCACTGCTGTGAATGTGCAGGCAATGGTGTTCGGTAACATTAACGATCGCTCTGCTACTGGTGTCGCCTTCTCGCGCAGTCCCAGCACCGGGGAGAACTACTTCTTTGGTGAGTACCTTGTGAACGCACAGGGTGAGGATGTTGTGGCTGGTATCCGCACGCCGCAGCAGATTGGTCGCGAGCTGTCGCTGCGCTGGGCTAAAAACCATGGTGTGAGCGAGGATGAGCGTCGTCACCGCTACCCATCGATGGAGGAGGCGATGCCGGAGAACTACCGCCTTCTGTGCGATATCCGCGCGAAGCTGGAGCACCACTACCGTGACATGCAAGACATCGAGTTCACTGTGGAGGACGGCCGTCTGTGGATGCTGCAGTGCCGTAATGGAAAGCGCACAATCCACGCGGCGGTGCGCATTGCCATCGAGATGGTGCAGGAAGGCCTCATCTCGAAGGAAGAAGCCGTGCTACGTATTGATCCTTCGCAGGTGGACCACCTGATGCACCCGAACATTGAACCTGCTTCCGCCAAGAGCAGCAAGCCGATTGGCAAGGGTCTTGCGGCAAGTCCTGGTGCTGCTGTGGGTCAGGTTGTCTTCGACGCCGATTCGGCCAAGGAATGGAGTGCAAAGGGCAAGAAGGTGATTATGGTACGCCTCGAGACGTCACCGGAGGACTTGGCTGGTATGGATGCCGCGTGCGGTATTCTGACGGCCCGCGGTGGCATGACGTCTCACGCGGCTGTGGTGGCCCGCGGCATGGGTAAATGCTGCGTTTCTGGCTGTGGCGACATGGTTATTAAGGGCAAGCAGTTCACACTTCACGGTCACGTGATCCGCGAGGGTGACTACATCACAATTGATGGGTCAAAGGGTCTGATCTACGTTGGTAAGCTGAAGCTACAGTCACCCAACCTGAAGGGTGACTTCGAGAAGATCCTCGGGTGGTGCCGTGAGGTGAAGCGCCTTGGTGTGCGTGCCAACGCAGACACACCACACGACACAACCAAGGCCCGCAGCTTCGGCGCAGAGGGCGTTGGCCTGTGCCGCACGGAGCACATGTTCTTTGAGGGAAGCCGAATTGATGCGATTCGCGAGATGATTCTTGCTGACACTGTGGAGGGGCGCAAAGCTGCTCTGCAGAAACTGTTGCCTGTGCAGCGTGGTGATTTTGTTGGCATCTTCAAGGCCATGAATGGTCTGCCGGTGACAATTCGCCTGCTGGACCCCCCGCTGCATGAGTTTGTGCCACATGAGGAGACAGCACAGGCTGAGCTCGCGCAGAAGATGGGTGTGCCGGTGGAAAAGATTCGCAATCGCGTGAAGTCGCTCCACGAGATGAACCCCATGCTCGGTCACCGCGGTTGCCGTCTGGGCATCACGTACCCTGAAATCTACGATATGCAGGTGCAGGCTATTATGGAGGCAGCGATCGAGTTAAGCAAGAAGGGCTGCAAGGTTCAACCGGAGATCATGATTCCGCTGGTTGGTAAGAAGGAGGAGCTGACTTTCACCAAAAAGAATGCAGTAAAGACAGCGGAGGCGGCTATCGAAGCCGCTGGCCACCGTGTGCACTACATTGTGGGTACCATGATCGAGGTGCCGCGCGCTGCCGTAACGGCTGACCAGATCGCCCAGGAGGCTGACTTCTTCTCATTCGGTACAAACGACCTGACACAGATGGGCTGCGGCTTCTCGCGTGACGATGCCGGCGCATTCCTGCGCCACTACTGCGAATTGGGAATCTACGCCCAGGACCCATTCCAGTCGCTTGACCAGTCAGGTGTTGGTGAGCTTGTGCGAATTGCGGCAACGAAGGGACGCAGTGTGAAACCAATGCTGAAGCTTGGTATCTGTGGTGAGCATGGTGGAGACCCCGCAACGATCGAGTTCTGCCACAATGTCGGTCTCAACTACGTGTCATGCTCGCCGTTCCGTGTGCCTGTTGCCACTGTTGCCGCTGCCCACGCCGCACTGAAGGAGAAGATGCGCGTAGAGGCACAGTACAAGAAACTCAGTGGAAAACTTTAAGTAATTTGCGGTATGATGTTTTAGTGAATAGATGTATTATGGTAATAATAGTGTAGAGGGAAAAGAAAACGTTTGTTTTAGGGAATTTTAATCGTGGAAAAACTTTTTCTTATGAGTTAGGTTCTTGGTGTTTGTGGGCTTTTCTCTGTTGGATTAATTTTTTCTGTAGAGGTATCTTGTTTTTTGTTTTTTTTTGTTGTGCTGGAAGGATGCTGAAAAAAGGGGTAACTGTATGCAACAAAAGGTTTTTTTTTTTTTTTTTTTTTTGAAAAATGATATGTATCCTCCGGAAGTTTTTGACTAGGGGTTATGATCTGTTGAAAATACTTCTTTTATAATATGAGGGAAGATTTGGTGAATCTTTTTTTCCCACTGAAAAATGCGTAGTGGATTTTTGATCGGTTGTTTCTACTGTTTAATTTCTTTTCTTGGTAGGATTTTTTTTTTTTACGTCGTTTAGTCTTTACTGGGGACCCTTGGGCGTTGCTCCGAGTCCTTTGCATCTTGTTATCGTGCAGGAAGATGATTATCATTATTATTCTCTGCTGATTTTGTTTTACCTAATTGAGGTGGAATTAAGGTGCATCGTGATGTGGAGTAGGATGAGGTGTACCAAAGAGTAACATTGTTACGATAAAACGGTGTAATTCTATTCAGCAGTGTTAGTATTATTATTGTTTTTTTTGTTTTTTATGATGATGATGATGATGATGATGATGATGATGATGATGATGATTTTTATTATTATTATTATTATTATTATTATTATTATTATTATTATTATTTTTTATTATTATTATTGTGGCGGTGGTAGTTGTAGTCTTCTTTTGAGTTAATACTTTTTTCCTTCTTTGACTGTTCTCTGATATGGTAGGGATATATATATATATTAACTCTCTTAACAAGTGGACTGCATAAGCCAAAGAGGTTTTCTAAAATTGCGGCATTGTGTGACTTTACTAACATATTCTGTAGAAAATGCGTAGTTTGTTGGACGGTATTACTTCTGCACTGCGCATTCCACAGGAGCAGTTACAACAACGACGACAACAACAACAAGAATTGCGACGACAGGGAGATGCTGACTATGACAGAGGTTCTACTAGTGACACGGTGACAGGAACCGCGATGAATGTTGTGCCTACTTCGCTTCAAGAGGATTCCCACATGGACTTCTCAAGTCACTCTTTAAGTGGTGAGTTGCTTCATGGTGGTGGTCACCGTTACTGTAATTTTTCTACTGAGAGTTTACCAGACCTTCCTTTTACAATGCTTCTTCTTACACAGAATATTGGTGGTATTGATGCATGTTCTTTCAGTACGGATAAAGTGAATGAAAAAGTCTCTGGTGAAAGTGAGATGGACAAAGAGAGAAAGAGTGTACGCAATCCTGTACGGCAACTTGTAGCCGAGTTACTGGCCGAGTTACGACTTTTGATCTACGAAGCCTGTCGTCGTGAGTATGCTACGTACTCACGAAAACGTAAAACGAGTTTTAACGATCGTGTACCACCACACTCTGTAGAGAATGACTATACCATAGAAGACTCTTTGCCTCCATTAATTGATGTTATTGTTGTTCATTTTCAGGAAATTGGAGGAAAGCAAATGAATACAGAGTTCAATGCCTTTTTTGCAGAAGCTTTGAATACAGTATTACCAGAAGCAGCGTGGACGTCAGGTCTTCTTATGGAAACGAATGACGATGCGCAGAGGTTTACAGCCATAGGTTCAATTGTATTTTTGTCACATCGTATGTGCCCTATTAGTAGTATTCTTTCTTTCCGTCATCGTACATTTGTTAGTGTTACGGATGATCCTGCTACATACGGTAGTTCACCTACTTTTCTTTTTCACGGTAACAGGTTTTCTGGTGCTGGTCGCTCTCGTAAAGGTTACTTGCTTACATCGTTGCGCTTTGGTACAGTTGTTGTGAATTTTCTTAATGTTCATCTCTATAATGATGCCAAAAATACAAATGCAGCGGAGTCAAGTCCGAGTATGTATGCATTACAACGACAAGAAGCTTTGTTAGAGGCTATGGCAGAATGTATGGTGTTTATTTCACCTCAAGATCCTTTATTTATTTTTGGTGATTTTAATACCCGTTTAGATGCTCATGCTCTTTTGCAGCATTTAAAGGAATTTCGTCAAATAGATGTAGAACTTGATGTGAAAGACGTGCGTGCACCTGACAGCTTTTGGGAACTGTTCACAGAATCATATCATATGGAAATGATAAAAAAATTTGATGTTGAAATGGAACGTTTAATGGATGTTGTGGCTCAACAGAGTGGTGTAGAATTGGCAGAGTTTGCGGTACGTTTCCCACCGTCGTATTCGCGTCTCCCTATTGAGGATTCCTCACGAGTTCAATGTACACCACAAGGTACCGCAAATAGTAGTGAAGAGGAAAAGGACGCGATATGTGATGGGGAACATGAGAAAAAGAGAGCGAAAAGTGAGACGGAAATACTGAAGATATTAGCGCGAATTGCAGGAATACCTTCACGTGGTTATCTGCGGCAACGTATTCCCGCCTGGTGCGACCGTGTTGTGTGGAATCCTGCTGGATTAGAACTGATGACAGGAGTGCGTTCATCATCATCATCATTGCCACTGTCTGCTCTTTTTGAGAACAATAACAGTAGTGAAGAGTCTATGGGTCGGTATACGTATCGATCTTTTGCACTTACACACACAGATCACGATGCTGTGACATTGTTTTTTTAACTTGTATTTTTGATCATTTCTTTGGTGATACTGTTACTAGAGGTAATGACAATCATTACAGCAAGCCAACATGTTTATTTTTATTCGTGCAGTATAAATATATTGCTGTGTATGTATTGTGGAAAGGCCTTCTAATCACTGTGAGAGTTGGGAGCATTCTAGGGTGGGAAGGAGTGAGGGGATTGCCTTATTCTTTAAATAAGAATTATTATGATTGTTATTGTAGTATATATATATATATATATATTTTTTTTTTTTTCTGATACTACTGCCTTTATAGAATGTACGCACTAAGTTTCACTCTGTACCATGTTGTGTTCCTATATTTTTTTTTATCTTTTGTGATCAGTCAGAGGCTCTAGGCAGAAAAGTAAAAAAAGGAAGAAGATTTACCAGTAGAAGGGGATTGATAGTAACCTAGAAAGGAGGGTGAAACCATCCACCAGCACGGCCACACATTATATATAATATATTCTTAGAGAAATAAGAAGATAGAAGAGGATTCTATTAGTAATCTCTTTACCTCTGTCTTTGTTTGCGCAAGAAGACTAGTTACCTTTTGTTGCCCCCACAAAATATATAAACATAAAATAAATAAATAATATATATATATATATATATATATATATATAATACGTATAGATACTGTTTTCCTGAACACACCGTAGTGTGGTAATAAAGTTGGTTTTAGGACGACTGTGACTGCTTTTAGGTACTGAGAGAGTATTCTTTTAGAGGGTTTGCTTGTTGTTAGTCTTCACCCATAGAGGGAAAGGGAGTTGCTAAAACCACTGCGTGTGTGTGGGAGAGAGAGATAAAAAAAAAAGAGATAGAATAAGTGATCCACAGAAAGAGAGAGAGAGAAAAAAAAAAGACTTAACTGAACCTCCTCTCCTCCTCCAAAAACAAAAAAAAAAAAAAAAACAAGAATTACAAAAACAACTGATGAACCCAAAGGGAGAAGTTTATGATCATAGGGGATTATACCAGCCCTCTGGATCTGTGGAAGGTAACGAAGATGTCCACAATTGTGAGAGACTTCCTATGCATAGCGGTATGCTACCAATGTCGTTCGTAGGCACTTCACCCGAACATGCATCGACGATAAACACAGACACGTGTTCAAGAGAGTCCCGCTCCACACGGCGCCAATCATATCTTCAACTTAACTGCAACTTCTCTGAGGAAGATGGAATTGCATGCCAAATACGGACGCAAAGTTTTGGGGTTCGACGTGCCGCAGATTCATTTGCGTTCCTTAATGCTGATTTATCTGTTGCAGGTATTAATAACACTCTTCCTTCTTGGCTTTCGGACTCCATATTCCAACCCCTATCTTCGGTTAATGGAATGGCTCATAGTAAAGATAATCATCAGACTCCTGTACGCATATATAGTGCCGTGCCACCAAAGGAGGGGATGTTGTCTCAGGAAAATTCTCTGCCCTCTGCTCAGAATGTAAACTCAAAAGTAGAAATTCGTAACGTTTCAGGAGCTTTACACGAAACCGCCCCCACAGTAGAGATGCCACAATTTTCTCAAACAAAATCGATCATTGCCATGGAGAATGAAGAAACAGCGGCTTCACTCAAAACTGGACGTGGACCTGTGGTGTGTTTACAAGATGTTCTCAACGATGATGTTGTCTCTGTGGATTCGTATTCAGAGATGACACCGACACCATCAGGTTGTACAGCGGTGTTTTCACCAACCATGTTATCACATGAAACAATGGAACAACGGAAAAAGCAGAAGCCATGTCAACAACAACAACAACAACAACAGAGAAGACGTGGGGTCTTTGGATTATTCGGTACAATAGGACGTGGTTATTTTAAATATTTTGCAGCTCTGTTCAAACGACATCAACTTCTTGAGCCGTTTCTTAGACGTGTCTTACAGTCATGTGAGGACATTTATCCAAGGGAAATTGATATTATGGAGTTTTTATCTAATGCGGATGTATCACCAAATGATATCTTTTTTATGAATCCACTTATTGCATGGCCTCTACAGGTTTTGTATACGATCTCTTGTTTTTACGTTACAGCGAAGTTGTATGGGTATCAAGAAATCTTTAAGCTTTTTAAACCACGAGGTGGATTGTTCGCCAGTGGCAAATATATTTTTGCCGCCCTAGCAGTTGCAATGTCACCTACAGAGGAAGAGTTGATGTATCACACATCTAGGATGTTTCGGGCTGCTTTTTTAGTCGGTTTTATAAACAATGAAAATAAAGAACATTTTGAGAATCAGCTTCATGGATGTAGACAACGTAGCTTTATGTTGCTTGTAGTTAATATTTCAATAACATCATTGCAATTACTTATTAATAAGGTTAATAAGGTGCAACTAGGACCTTGTAGTAGTGAGTCTTGGTCTGAGGATAATAGTTCACGTATCATTCCTATGTCAAGGATAAACATAGCACGTATTATTAGTACTCGTTCAGCAGTGGTTTGTGGTCATCCCACTGACTTGGAGCGATTGAATATTCTTCTTATTAACTATGCCACTAGTACGGGTGTAAAAGTACATAGAGAATACCTTCCTACAACAACACCTGAAAATAGTTCTTTTTATAATCAGCCTCAATACCTTAGATTACTGCAACTCTGGAGTGATAATGGTATGGAGTTTGACTCTTCTATGCTTCAACTTACTGTATACTCTCCTGTAGACGGAGAGGCATGGAACAGAGAATCTAAATGTGTGCTTACAGATAAGATAGCCTTAGCTGTAACATCTTTAACACAGGATTTGACCTATTCACTTCAACATGTACGCGAGGATGATGTATTACTTAACTTTTCTCTTGATACTCCTTCGCTTGGACAACTTATTTGCTGGTCAAGACATGAAATTACTATTCTTGTAGAACCTGCAGACCAAATATGCGTAAACGTTTTCCCATCACCTCGTAGAAGTGCCTTAGATGGGATAATTCATGCTACACTTGCAAAGTGCGCTAAGATTAATATCATATTGCAAAGTATGCAATGGGAAGGGAAACCCCATCAGGCCTGCGTACAAGATCTTTCAACTAGTTTTATTGATCTTGCTTTGTTAGTAGATGCGGGGGAAGTTAGAAAAACTTCTTCTAACCTTCATTCAAATTACCTTTCACCAACATGTGGTTTTGTGAATACAAAGGGAGAGTTATCTAATTTGGTCGTAAAGAGCGGTTTAGTGAATGAGACATTTATGGGTACTCAATTAAATCACAAAGATAAAGTGATAAAAGCCTCACAAGGCGAAGGTTCATTTTATAATTTAGAAAGTGATCCATTTTCTTCTCCCCCTGAAAATGGATTTAACTGCATTCTTTTACCGAACGAAAATTTTCCAACTGCGTTAAATGCGTATGAATTATTACCAGCGGTAAAATATTACGAAATGCAGTTTAATTCTTTCTTGACTCGGGGTGCGGTGGAATTTGCCCGGAGATTAGCACAATGCACAGGAATTGAGTTTCCACCCCATACATTGTTGATGTGCCCCACAGTGTTGGCTCTCATGGAGCTATGGGACGCATATGATTTTCTAAGAAAACAAACTGATTAACACAAAGTGAACGCACATTTGAAGCTTTTATTCTCTCTGGGATTAACTGGGTTGCTGATACATTGAAGTTCCCCCCCCCCTCCCACTCCTCAAGCTTTATTGTTGTTATTATTATTATTATTATTATTATTATTGACATTGCTATTGTTCAAATTCGTAATTCCAGTTCTTTTTTCTTTTCTTTTTCTTTTTCCGCTACTTATGAAAAATCCTCTGAGGTATATATTCTTTTTATCATTACCGTGTTCACGTGAGGTATTAAGAGTTTCTCCAGAGAGTAGTTGTGATTTCTACTGTTTTTTTTTTTCTCTTTTTGTGGCCACTTCAGAGAGATCAACAATTACTTTTTTTGGTTCTATAATTTCCCTTTTGTTTTTTTCTCTCGCTTTCTTTCTCTCTCCCCCAATTGTGCTTATATTTATCTGTGGAATTGCGTGGTATTCTGTTGACAGTATTCGTGATATCGATACTAATTGGAGGGTATTGGAGAGTTAATGGGTTCCTTTTCCCTCTCTTCAAACTTCTTTAAAACGAAAAAGGAAATACAGTGATTTGATATATATATATATATATATATATATATGTATATAGGGAATGAGATCCTCGTGATAGGTATTTTCTGCGTTCGATAGCTGTTTTTTTCTTTTTTTTTCTTGTTTTTGTTTTCGTCGCGCTTTAGATGCAATTCACACAAACACTCTCTCTCTCTTTATTTACTTTTGTTCATGTATACCGCTTCTTAGGCGTTTAAATTGTTTCTCTTTATTTCTCTCTCTCTCTCTCTATTTTTCTTTGATTATTATATATATATATATATATATATTTGTGCTGTATGTCCACCTATGACCTTTTCTGCCTTTTTTTCTTTCTTTCTCTTAAAAAAATTTTTTTTTTTTGCTTCTCCAAGCGGTTTTTTTTTTTTTTAACGCAACTAGGATCACACGCATAAGGTAGCTTTTGTTGATGTCGAAGCAACTCTCTATCATCTCTGCTGGTGCCTCTGCGGCCATCCTCGAGAGCGCCGCTGCGATTGTGAAGAAGGTCACTGGCGGGAAGGTGTCCACCACGACGGCCACGACGGCCGACCGCCACGCTGTTGTCGTGGGCCCCGAGACGCCGGCCGGCATCCACACTGTTGTGACGGCCGTGCCCGCCGCCCCGTTCCCCGCGTACGCCGGCGTGAAGACTGTCGTTGTGCGGGCGGTGCTGCCGCGCTCGGCGCCGGACCGCGTGCAGCTGCGCGACGCCCTCGACGTGTTCCCCGCGGCCGGCATCAGCACCGAGGCGGAGGAGCGGGCGGCGGCGGAGTCCTTCCGGCGGTCCGCGGCGGTGGCGGTGGCGAGGGCCCGGGCCGTCAACGCGAGTCGCGTGACGCTGGTGGTGAAACAGGCCTCGCGCTACACCGGCGTCAACGGCGTCTTCCGCCGCGTCTGCGAGGAGGTGGTGGCGGCCGCCGGTCTTTCGGTGGAGGTGCAGGGAACGGCAGCAGCGACGAATGAACTTGTGCTGCGACCAGAGTCTCTCGGCGTTGTGCTCCTCAACGACGTGCCGGCGACGGAACACGTGGAGTTGGCCGCCGCCGGCATATTTGGTGGTGCCTATCGCACGTGCCACACAAACACCGGGGGATCCGTCTCAGCTGGACACAGCTTCAAGTCGGTCGCCCTCGCTGTCGCCGCAGAGCTCCGCGCACTCGGCATGCAGGCAGAAGCAGAACGGGTTGAGGCTGCAGCCGCAAAGAACCCAAGAGCCGTGGTCGCCGCACTGTAAGGTGCTTCTGAGTGCATATATATAAACATATATATCTCTGTGTGTGTGTGGATATGAATATAGGGGTTCCCTCGTTACCCCTTTCAACAGGTTGTAGTGGAAGTAGTATACCGCACCAGAAGGTCGGGCACACACATCCGTGTTCGGCATCGAGGACAAGTGAGAGAGGGAAGGTAGTGTTGGTGAAAGACAGGGAGGCAGGGAGGGGAAGAAAAAAGAAAAAAAAGAGAAGTAATATGAAAAAAAAAAAAAGTAAGCAAAACGAGAAAAAAAAAAAACAAAAAAAAAAAAAAAAAAAAGTAAGGGTGTTTTGACTAGTGTCCCCCCCAACTCTGTGGGTGAGTGTCATTTACATTAAAAAAAAATATATATAAATGGNAAAAAAAAAAAAGAAAACATCAGGAATAGGCTCTGCTGACTTGTGCTGCGCTTGCGTAGGGAGGAGGGAGTAGGAAGAAGAAGTATGTTGAGAAATATATAGGTGAACTGTATCTGATTGTGTTTGTGTGTATATGTGTCTCTGCGAGGTTATGTGCGTGTTTGTAGTCGTCTAATACGCACATGAAAATGCATTGCTGGTAAAATATTCTTGATGGGGTTTTCTTTGGGGTGATGGTACCTTTTTTTTTCTGTTTTTTTTTTGCTGTTTGACCTACTATAATATGTTTTCCGTCCCTTTTTTTTTCTTTTTGATTTTTCTAACGTACAAAACGCACTAAATATAAATACGAATAAAAGGTAGGACCACTCTTTTTTTTTCCTTCTTTCCCTTCTTTTGCTGTCGTACCACAACACATCTGCTTTAGCCGCCTGCCAACGTAAGGGGCAGGAGTGCAGAAGAAGTGAGTGCGTGTTATTATTGTTCTGCTACACATAACTCCTATCATTTTCTCTACTTGGCAACACACTCACACCCACACCCTCGCGTCCACACACAAAGAAAGAAAGAAAGAAGAGAACATTTACTCTTTCTTTTTATCCGAACAGAGACATAATAGTTCAGGGGGAGGGAGTGAAAAGAGGGATATTCGGTCCTGATTCACAGAAAACTTTTGCCCCAATTGAGTCTTATCAGGGTTGTTTGTACTACGTGGACCCTTCTGGTTGGATAAAGAAAAGAAAACCAAGAAGAAAGGGGGTGGAAAAAAGGACATAGGAGGAGAGTGTGATCACTTCGTACTTCTTTTCTGTGTTCTTATATTGATTGCTCTTCTTCCTCCTGGGGAACGAGCTAATATAATCTACTAGCTTTTTAGGCAATATACAGCTGGTCGGACAAGAAAAGGTCTTGAAGAGTAGAAGGTCTAATTGGATTTGTGACTACATACTGTTGATCATGTGGCCGAGAACCAGTACTCATGGTGCGAGTAGACCACCACCACCACCACCACCACCACCACCACCAGCACCACCATCACCGTTTCCCACAGGAAGGGAATGTACAGCAGATGTGCCATTGTGTGCTCCATCATCATCACCAGCACTATGGCGTAGGGGGTTCCCAGGACCGCCACCTCCTCAAGCGATGTCAAGACTGGGATTACCGCCTAGGGCTACAATATGTATTAAAGGTTTACCACCAACTGTAGACAACAGTCAAAATTTATTACCGTTTGTCCCAAGAGAAGGATTGATCGCTTTACGTGTAAAAAGAAGTGGTGGTCGAGATGTTGGGTTTGCAGAATACGATTCTGGAAAATCTGCTCACGAAGCACTACAGTGGTTCTACAGACTAAGAGTAACAACTAATATTGCTTACAGTTGTTTGTCTCACATGCCACCTTCATGCGATATACCACCTTTAGGTTATCGCTACCCTGTCCCATATGTGGAGTATAACAACTGTATTGGAGACTCTTCTCGTACCATGGACTTGCTTCTGAAAAGTGTTATTCTTGATGCTGAATGGTCTGATAGCAGTCCTACTTGCCGTCCAAATTTTGTTCCCTCACGTACTTCACCGAACCCTTATTTTGATCAGCAAAATCAACAAAATTACGGTTGTATTCCTTCAATGGCTATGACCCCAGAACGTATTTCTCAACCACCGCAATTTGGTTTTCATTCGACCCCCTTATCTCACACCGGTCCTATCCCAGAGACTCACTCACGTCCTGATGTGCCAGGACTACAAAATATATCGTGGGACTCCCGTCCTAAAAGTACCGAATGCTGTCATGCAATTTCTGTAGAGAGCGGATGGAACCAGGGTTGTATGACTCATCCTTCTAAAGTTGGTATGTCTATGCAATCTGGAGTTAAACCTCAAAGACATCGGTGGCACTCCCAACCTCAGCAAGCGTGGGGCCAAACTTCTACTGAGGGTGATATCCATATGCATGGTACATCATCCATAACACAGAGTGACTCCTCTCGTGCATGTTTATCGGATTCTACTCTCCCTTCTTTCATTTTGGACGATAAAGATCTCCCCAGCAGTACACTTTTTGTAAGGGCTCTTCGTTATCGACCACATCATCTCCAACAGAATACATCATCATTTCGTGCAGCCTCGAGTTCCCCAATTTCAGGAAGAGCAGAAGAAGAAATAGTGGAAACATCGTACGATTCTGGAACTTCAGTACCGTCTGAGCACCAGTACCAACAACGACGACAACAACAACAACAACTCGATCGTGTCGTTCAGGAATGGGCGTGTCTGCACCATCACCACCATTTTTCGGCATATCCAGAGGTTCAGTCGAATATACCGTCTTCAATACCTTGTAATGCTTCAGCACATTCTGGGATGCCAGCAGAGGTACAAGAAGGTTCACCCACATTTCGCTCTCTTTCATCTTCCCATACAGGGGATGACACAATTACTAATGAGGTCATAAAGGGAGTTTTAAACCGCGATTTTTTCTCGGAACGTTTTGCTGGATTCTGTTCCTACAAGTCATTCGGCAAGCAGTGTGGTTTTGTGCGGTTTGAAACATCTGAGGATGCGCGGCAGTGTTTGTGTTGGTTAAGGCGGCAGCAGAATTTACGTCCATTCATTTCTGTGCAGTTTGCGCGTCAGGACACGAGGTCGTGTCGTTTTCACAAACGAGGGAGTTAGCGAAAGAAAAGAAAAGAAAAAAAGAATAGATACAAAGAAAAGGGGATGATTAACATTACTTGAGGGGAAAGGGGGTTGTCTTTGGTCGAACATTGCAAGATGCGATGGTAACTGTTATAAGTTTATCGCTTTTTCTGGAAGAAGGAGAAAAAAAAAAATAAAGAAAAGTGAAAGAAAAAAGAGAGAAGAAAAGTGGTGATGGTGGGGATAAAATAAAACAAACAAACAAACAAACAAATAAACAGACCGAGAAACCAAAAAAAGCATGTTCATCAGGTCATATTATATGAGGGACAGAGGAAGGTAGACTACAGCGCTGAGGACGAAAAATAATAGCGTCTTTTTTTCCTTTTTGTTCTTCGTTCTTTGCACACATTCAGACAGAGGAGGAGGTATGAGGAGAGGGGGTGGTGGAAGGAATGGATGAGGGTAAATAAACGGACACCTTTTTTTCTGTTTTTTTTTTTTTTTCTTCCCCACTGTTTTGCATTTATTTCGTGGCTCTTTTTTTTTTTTTTCTTTTACTGCGCTACGAATGTATGATATGTCTTTCTGGTGAAGGGTGGTGCAACTGAAGAATAAAGAAGATAAATGCCACCAAACCAAAAACAAAACAAAACGGGGTGACGATGGAAAGCGCAACCAAGAGTGTGGATAAGAATATTCTGCAAAAATAAAATGGAAGTCAAGAAAGGAAGAAAGTTGTGTGTAAGCGACACCTTGTTTTTTTTTTTTTTTGTTGTTGTTGTTTCTCTTTTGAGTCTACGGAAGAAGCTTAATTCGTTTTACTGGGTTGGTTCCTCTCAAAAGGGAACCTCTTTCCACAACCTCGGGTACTGTTCCCCATCGTCCTGTTCTGTTTGATTACGATATGTTGATTGTTGTTCCTTCTTATTATTAACTTTTTTTTTTTTTTTAAATAGCCGTAGTTTTTTAAATTTCCGTCTTTTCTCTTTTTTATTTTTGCCACCCTCATTGTGGCCTTTATTATTGTTTTTCCACTATGCGCTTGCCGCGCCCAGCCTTTGCGCTCCACAACAAGTTTTGCAAGCGGTGTCTATACACATTTTGGTGGGACGACTTTTTATTTTATGTTTTTTATTTTTGTTTTTTTTTTCACATTATTCTATTTGCTGCGCACTCAGTTTTGAATATTGATTGCCGTACCGCGATGAAAGCAGTCATTTTAGGGAGGAGAGGTAAATATGAGGGGAAGGGGGTGTCAACGTGATGGTAGAGCGTGTGTGTGTGTTTTTCTTTTTCCTTCTGGTATTTGATTATTATTATTATTATTTTTAAATACCAATACACACACATATATACGGAAACGCTCAAATATATATATATATATATATATATATATATGTATACATCTTCTCTCTTTTCTATTTCTATCTCCTTTTTCACACACAGACATATATATATATATATATATATTTATGAGATTCAATAACTTTCATATATTTGTATATATTTTTGAAATTTATATGCTTTCAAAATACTTTTTCACACACTTACACTTACACTTACACTTACTGCACACATATTTTTACTCACATATACACATCTCAATACCTACACTGTAGGAGGGAACAACCGTTTCTACTAAAGTTGCATCGACTTGGTTTGTCTATGACAGATTAACACTGCGTTCGTCATTCCTCCTTTTAATATCGAGTGTAGACTATTTGAGAAGCGAAAAAAAAAAAAAAAAACTACTTATCAAGTATTCATTTTTTTTTTTTT